ATACTATACCAGCATGTATAATTGTTGGATGATAATAATAAATTATACAAATTAAAGCTACAAAAGAATATTAATTAATCAGTATAAACTTATATTTATATTTTATTTTTATTTTTATGATATATAGTAGTTTAAATTATGATTTATATATTTATAATGTTATTTTAGAGTTCGTGTTTATAATTAAATAATATAAAATTTTAATATATTCAAACATTTCATAATATTCACCACAAAGATATTAATCTCTTTTTTTGCTCATATATCGTATTACAATATATTATATTTAATTCTTATATTATAATTTTCACTTTTGGTACCTCAATTATATTCGTTTTCAGTTTCAGTACTTCATGTATTCACGTAACCAATGTAAGTACACAATGGTTCGACCGTTAATCAATTTCAATCCAATCGTTTAATTTTTTGTTAAGTACTAACAGAACCATACAAAAAAATTTAAATTAATTAAAATTATTTAATGAAATATTAAAAATATTGAATTAATAATTAACAAATTAAAAAACAAAAATAGTAATACTAACTAAACATTAGCCTCTCGTCTCCTCTAGCTATCTCTTGGATCGAGGACCGCTGCCAACTGCCACGTCCGTCGCTAGCCGCCATGTCCTCCATCCGCCTCCGGCCTCTTTGCTGCCTTCTTAAAAAAAAAAAAATTGTACATTAAAGTTTATTCGAAATTCAACCGTTGGAATTTATGAACAATATATGTATAATAAGCATTTTTTATAACTAAATATGCATTATGAACTAAATATGAATTTCTTATTCTTAATTAAGTATGCATTATTTATAACTAAAATATGCATTGTGTATTATTTAAATATGCACAAGAAAAAAAACTAAATGTGCATTAACTTTATAATATAAAAATCCAAAGGCCAATAAATCTGAAAATTGTTTCCCAGCCCGCTCGGCCACGTCGGAGGCGAAGGCCTAGAAGAACGACGCGGAAAAGCTTGCCATTAATGGTGCTGGGAGACACGACTGGAAGCTGCCTCGTTGCTTTGCCACCGTCTGATGCACCATCGACAACCTGTCCTCTTCCAGGAGTGCGATGTTTCCACACCAGTCTTCCACAAATAATCGACGCTTCCTCCTGTTCCACAAATGTTGGCGCTTCCTCTTGGCGGATTTGAGCGTAATTCTGGAGGGTGCCGGAGGGGGAACTCGCAGGTGGATTTGGGCGGATTTGTCGCGACCGTAGGTGGGGGTTCTTGCTCCAACACTCCAGGGACGACGCCGGGGAGGGATTTGAAATTTAAAATCCTATTTTAAAATTCAACTTTATTAATTTAGTAATTACTTTAATTACTAAAGTAATATCCAAAATGTAATTAATCAATCTTATTGATTAATATATTCCTTTAATTGACATCTAATCAAATTAGATATTTATCAATTAATTCTAACCATTAGAAATACAATCTTTACCTTTGTTCATAATTAGTGTGACCTTTTAGGTTCACNA